TTCAGTTGATTCATGCGGTAAGAATTTGCTTTAGAGGGAAATTCATTTCTGTGGTGATGCTAGCCAATCCCCGGGTGAATGTGGACTTGGCACTGGGGGCAGCAGCAGGTGAGAGAAAGAAAGGCAGTGAAGAGTGGAGCAGTATATCTAGTACTCTGCCCCAAGCCAGAGCTGGGGCCGTGACTGGGGTGGGGGATTGGGTTCCTCTTTTATTATTTCTCTTGCATGATTGATAATGTGCTTTCATTAGCTCCATCTCCCCCGGGCCCCAGGGAGCTACACAAACGGCAAAGGGAGTCTGTCGTTGGCCAAGGTGCCTTTGAATAGTGCCCCCAAGTGTGCGGGGCTGTGCACACTATGTGTGAGGTTCAAGTAAGGGACATGCGGTACAACAGAAAGGTCCCTGGAAAACAAATGTCCAGAGGCCAGAGTTCGCAAAGACAGCAAGTGAACCACCAGCAGGACACCAGCCCCCACCCCACCCCCACAGGGCTGTCATGTGACTCTAACTTCACAACTGCACATGCTGGTCCATAGACAACTTCCAACCCTGGTTTCATTGCCTCCGCCGACAGCCCACTGACCCCTGGAAGGCATGTTTGGTGGCAGAGAAAGGTAAACTCAGAGGTAAGCTACCCTTGGGTTCTGATTGTGAACCAGGTGCTGACTGGCTAGGGGATCTGAACCAAGTCGCTTTTCTGCTATTCTCAGAACCCTATACAGGGTCGCTATGAGTCAGAACCAACACGACAGCATACAACAACAACAGTGCCTACCTCGGAGTCCTGGTGGTGCAAATGGTAAAGCACTTGACGGCTAGTCTGTCAAAGAGAGAAATTCACAACAGCCATGTCACTTTGACTTTTAAGATTTTCCTTATTACCAAATTAATGCTGCAAGCAGCTTTTTTTCCACCCAAAGTTGCATTAATCCTTTTTTCCTGTGGAAAGTTAGGCTTAGCAAATTTGAATTCCAAAAGGTATAGTGAGGTGAAATGTTTGTAACCTGTTATCAGTTGCAGGTTAAAAGGCGGAGGGCAGGGTGCAATCAATCCTGCGAAGATTGGCTAATGGTTGTTCTTATATCTTTCTCCCTCACCTTCTCTTTGTAAGTTTTATGGTACACCTGCTCACTTGGGGTCATTTATTTTTTCTGGATTAAAATGGTCTTTCTATAAGCATATAGAATCTTTATTTCAATTTCATTGCGGTGTGGTTATTTTTAACAAGCTGAAAGGTTGGCTGCTTGAAGCCACTCTGAGAAACCTCAGAAAAAAATGGTGTTCCAAAAGGTCACAGTCTTGGAAACCCTACACGACAGTTTCACTCTGCACACGTGAGGATCAAATCAACAGCAGCTAACAAATGCCTACCCCATGGCTAGGAGCAGGGATCAGTGAGATTGTGGTCTGTGAAAGATGTTGGTTCGCTGTTCGCTTTACTCATCTCCTTAGGAAGGTTTTCCTAGAGTAACAACAGGGAAAACTCCAATGGATGCAGTGCTGGATGCTATGTACTTTATACACATGACCTCATTCAATCCTCACCACTTTCTAACACATGACAATGAGAAAACAGAGGCCCAAAGAGGCTAAGGGAACTGCTTAGGGTCACTAGCAGAGCCAGTACTCAAGCCCAGGCCACCAGGCTCTGGAGTCCCCAAGGTGTGTGGCCCTGCCCCCATCCTATCTATCCTCCACCCCACAGCAGTTCTGGGGGGCTCAGTATCAACGCTCCCTCGGGCATTCCTCAGGGAACGATGCTCCTCTGGCCAGCCATCATGGGCTGCATAGATGCATGGAAGCCAGTTAGTGGCTGACCCAGAATCACAGCCCCAAGACTCCGGTGACGAGCAAGCCGGAACCTTATCCCCACAGAGAGAGAAACATGGAAAGATGTGCTTGCCAAAAGGGTGACCCCTCCTGCTGTTGAATAGATGTTTTTCAAGACGAACAAAAAAAAATGTTATCAATGGATCCAACCATCAGAAGGCTGATTCACTCAGGGCCAAGGGTTGCAGAAGAAAAAGGACATTATAAAGCTAGCAACGCAGACCTGTTACAACTACTAACCCACATTCTAACCCATTTCATTCTCCTAAGAATAGGAGGGATCCAGAAAAGTGAAACAACTAACTGGACCAGGGCCATTCAGCTGCTAAGTTGCAGAGTAAGGACTGGAATTCAGGTCTCTCTGACTTCAAACAAACTACATCCTTGGCCCTTGGCTCTGTTTTCTTCCCCTGTTGTTGTTGTTATGTGCCGTGGAGTCGGTTCCGACTCATAGTGACCCTGTATAGGGTTTTCCAAGGAGTAGCTGGTGAGCTTGAACCACCGACCTTGTGGTTCAAAAGACTTTGCAGTCTGACGCATTAGCCCACGGTGCCACACCAGGATTCCATTAATTAAGACAAAACAAAGGGAATTCATATTAGTCTCCCTTCCTGCTCCCTGTTCCTAAAGGTGACTCTTACACTGACCTCTGAGGACAAAGCCAAAGCTACTGCCTTCCTTGTAGAGGGAGACATCCACTGTCTTTGAAATGGTTCCTGGGTTGTTCTCTGAAGCTGAGGAGAAAAGGAGGACTCCTTCAGTCCCTAAGTCACTTATCTAAGCCAGCAGATATCCCAAAAACCCATTCCAGAAAACTGAGGGGCCAGAGATTACATGGAAGGGAAACCCTGTCTCATCTGATAGAGAGGAAAAGTGAGGCTTAGAGGGGCCTTCTTCCTACACTCACTTCATCCACAACTTAGAGCTAACGGCAGAACTCTGGCTCGAGTCCATGGCTAATTTAGGCTCAGATCAGTGTTTCAGCTGAGGCAGATGACTTAAATGCTAAAAAATGTCAAGGTCAGAGTCAGGCCCTGGTTCTCAGAGCAGGGCAGTGGAGTGGGGACCAGTACGGCAGGGGCAATTGATTCAACCACAGTCCTTCCTACCCCCTACCAAAGTAAAAGTGTCTGGAAATGAACTATAAAAATGGCAGTGGTTATAAACAAGGTCCTGGCCATCTTGGTGACAGTTTGCCACAGGTGCAGGCAAAGACCCTAGGAGAGCATGGGATCTGTGGCCAGTCTCCTCACCCATCGGTCCCACCTGGCATCCCCACCCTCACCCAGGCCCTGGCAGGGAGGCAGTGGAGAGTGTCCCGTCCAAGAGAACCCACCAGGTGGGGGCAGCTCATACTCCACCTCCAGCACCACGCGCTCGCCCACATTCTTGAGCACGGTGATGATCTCATCATGGCGAAGCCTGGTCAGGTGGATCCCATTCACTGACCGGATGTAGTCCCCAACGTTCAGCAGGTCACTCCTGGGAGCGAAGATGGCAAGGCACACACAAAGGGACTCTAGATGCCCACAACCACACCTACCTCCTATTGATTAATCCTTAGGACTTTTGGATCCCATTTTACAGATGGGGAAGCTGAGGCTCAGAGTGCATTCTTTCTGAGACTATGGTATTGGATGAACCCACAGAGTAGGCAGATCACTCCCTCCTTTGCTCTTCCCTAAAGCTCTTCTCAGCTTTCACCACTATCTTCCATTCCGTTCAAGCAGACATTGATCAGGTCCCATGCTGCCAGGTGCCCGTGGAAGCCACAGTCAAGAAACTCACTCCAAGAACCTGAAAAGTTCACAGTCTACGGAAGTGGGAGTGGGAAACTGACTGTGCACACAGGGCAGCCCAAGCAGAACAGAGCCCTGGCCTGGGGTCAGGAAAGGCTGCTCAGAAGTGGTGGCTAGGGGTGGAGCATGGAGGGATAAAGAGGAGTTTGCCAGCAAGGTACTGTAGGGGACAGGCATCCCAGGCAGCAGGAACTGCATATGCAAAGGGCTGGAGGGCACTATACAGCCTGAAGAGTCTGGGGCACCATGGCTGGGCCGGGGCCATGGAAGAGAAGAGGTTGGGGAGGTCAGAGTTATAGCCTCCATGGCAGGACACCAAGCTTCTGAGGGCTCTTGGAAACTCACCTGGCTGCGAGACCCCCAGGTCTCAGGTTGGAGACCCTGGGCTTCCCATCCTTGTCAGTGCCCCCTGAGATGGTCAGGCCCAGTGTGCTGCCTTCTTTCTTGATCAGTTCCACCACGGTGACCCCTCGGAACTCCTCTGCCGATTGATAAGGGGGCTGAGCAAACAGCATAGGGCACTCTGGGCTCACACTTGGTAAGCAGAGTGCCTTACTGCATCACCTCCTTTCTACAGATGGGGTCAGAGAGGTGAAGTGACTTGTCCAAGGTCACAGTGTGATCTAGCAGCAGAGTTAGCACCGACCCAACCAGTGCTCTCTGCCACTCTAGGGCAGAGGAAGAAGGAAGGAGTGTCTCCTTACCTGGAATGCTCTCTCTGCGGCACACCAGGGCCATGTCAGGCCCACCCATGTCTTTTCCTCCTTTGCAGTATGGCCCATCATCTACAGAAGAGAAAGGACAAAGAGCTTCTGAAATCAGCTTTCATGTTCATCCAGGCAAATCTCTTCAGTTTAGGGAATCTCTCCACTTTTGTGGATGCGGTCTGTCAAAGGGATCCCTTCCTGCCCCGGCTCCACCTGATTCTCTGCTGGGGCAGGGCAGGCGGTGGGAAGGATCCTTGCGGCTTCTTCTCCCAAGTAAGCCTTGGTCAATTCTCTTGAGCTGAATAAGCATTCTTTTTAGCACCTTCTAGGTGCTGGGAGCTTCACAGTCATTCTGGGGTTAACCATTATGAGGTCTCCATGGGTGACATTGTGGTTGGAGGTAGTTGTATTCCCCTGTCCATATAAGCAAGATCACCCATGGTGAACAGGTTTCAGCAGAGCTTCCAGACTAAGATAGACTAGGAAAGAGGCGAGGCAGACGACGTCTTAATGGTTAGCCACAAAAAGCAGCAGACTACTGTCAAATAGAGTGCTGGAAG